GATCGAGGAGAGATAAGCAATGAAGAATGACCCAGATTAGGGCTCTCATTCTCCTATATGAGAGAACCAGCGCACAACTTCTATGATGGATCTTCTTCAGAGGATTACTGAATGCTTCTTTTCTTTTCTACTTCTCAGGAAGCCCCTCTTTTGTGCCCCATGCGATACGACGATAAGACGAAGTTTTTGCCCTTCTCCTAGAACTGTGAAGCTTGTAACTCGAGATTTTCTCCATGTCCTGAGTCATCATTTATGCTTTGTCTGAAGATTTTCTGGCTCCTCGCACTAAAAACCTAATGCCGTAGCTGATGACCTGATGCAGCTATAGGGATAAATAACTAAAAGGAATACCACTAGGGAAATGAATTACTGAGCCAGAGGGCCTCCTCTTTTTGGCATGATTCCCCCGAGAATAGAATAGCGGATGTAGTGCTCTTAAGAGCAACTCCCTTTGTGTCTCCGGAGATCCGTCCATTCGCATGCTCTGGAATTATTCATGGAGGGACTGCTCTCTGTTCTGTGTAGAAACATGAGTCGAGGGGGAACAATGCAACGTCATGTGATCCCGGTTTACCCAGTTGCCCCTCATGGAAATCTCCCGGTTCCATCCTCGTCATCTTCATCTTTCTCTCCTTTGAAATTGGAGAAACTTCGAGGAAGGTGCAGTTGGCGAGCGTGTGCCATTGCCCTCGGAATTCTCGTCCTTTTGCTCATGAGTTTGGTCCTCTACCTCGGATGTAAGAATTTACTCTTCCTCGTAATTGACTGTAAACTTATGGAATACATTCCTAACATTCCTATGTTGACCCTCTTGTATGGTTGCAGTCAGCAAGACATCGGATCCTCGAGGATGCCGAGAACTGATCAAAGAAGAGGCTCGGGTGATGGCAGCGGCAGACCATGACCTTCCCTCGGGGAGCCAAGGTCACCAATTCACGACCCCTCTCTCTTCCTGGACCCAATCAACCAGTAAGTCCCTGTCCATTGCGCGAAAAGTAAACGCTTCCTTCTCACGCGAGGAAATCCATCGGGATGTATTGACCAAGCTGGGAATTAAGCTTCAATTTGTTTATTGATTGACGGGGTTCTCTTCCGCTGCTTCGTCTCTTCCTTTGGCCAGCTGCACGAAACTTCGCTCATGATGGATCACTTAGGGGTATAGACCTTCAAGGGCATGCGAACTTCGCATCTCATGTATATCCAAACACATAGTCGATATGTTCGGAATCGCGTGCGACGCTGAAGCTCACCTTGCGAGCACCTTGGAGTAATGTCTATTAAAGATCGATGAAAAACAAGTCAAACTGTGGTATATTTTAAACAGTGGTAACCGTGAAAATTATACGATTTCTTACCTTTTATAGGTGAGGGACCGAGAGAAGTGCCACAAGTTCCACAAGTGCCAAAACAGTCGGAATTCAATCCGTACGGCCGAGGGCCGGTAGTAACTCTGGACTCAATGGGCCAAATCTACGTCCAGAAACTGGAGCCATTCGGCTTTTGGAACCTGGAACTTGACGTGACTCAATCCCATTACGTGTGGATGAACTTGACCTTACCTCGAAATTCGGGGATTGCATTGTACGGGCGTCGAAACGTGGCTCCATCGGTCACGAGGTACGATTTCGTTCGATTTATCCGAGACGGAACGATGGAACGAGGGCGGATGGAAAGGGACACGACGAGGCTTGTCAATGCAACGGCATTGGAATATCTGCACGTCGGGAAATGGTTCATCAGTCTGTATAACGACGACGTGGTTCGGCACGAAGTGGCCTTGGTCCTCTCCATAGCCAGAGATATCTCGGCCATGACGTGTCCCCACGATTGCCACGGACATGGGGAATGTCGACTCGGGGAATGCCACTGTCATGCCGGATATCAAGGACAACTCTGTGACATCAGTGAGTTTTCTCATCCCCATCCAGGAAATGAAAAGAAACCCTCATCGCTTTCTTTCTTAATCGTATCGCCCTCGAGGAATCCATTTAATCTCCTCCATTCTCCTGAATCAATATCCCATTCATATCCCCAAGACCCTTCTGAGCGTTCCCCTCGATTTTCTGATTGAAATCTGAGGGTTCTTCCAGAGAAATTCTTTTTTAAAGCTGTGATTCCCTCGTTTCTCCCTCTCTGAAAAAATTAGACACATGTCCGGTGCTGTGCAGCGGTCATGGTGACTACGGCGGGGGATCGTGTCACTGTCACCCGGGATGGAAAGGCCCGGAATGTGAGACCCCAGAGGGGGAATGTCCCATTCCGGACTGTAACGGAAAAGGTCATTGCGTCAACGGTCAATGTCAGTGTCAGCCGGGATGGACAGGGGAATCTTGCGATATGGGTGAGTTTTCAGCCACTTTTAGTTTCCAGGACGGCACTTTGCCAGGCCCTCATGCCTCGTTTCCCTCCACTTGAAAGTGACATCGAGGGTATCTTCGAGATCGAGGCCTTCTTAGTCTTAAAGGGGATTCAATCCCCTCCATCTATCTTCTATTTTCTCCATGATGCGTAGGGACTTGTTTGGATCCTGGTTGTTCGGGGCACGGAGTTTGCGTGGATGGGGATTGTGTGTGTCGGGCCGGGTGGGTGGGACTTAATTGCTCCCTCATCGACGACAAGGTCCTCGAATGCCTTCCCAAATGCTCCGATCATGGTCGATTCCATCTGGAACAAGGGAAATGCCTCTGTGATCCCCCTTTTACGGGATCCGATTGCTCACAAGGTTAGTGAAGGAGTCCTTGACCAAGTCCTCTTCTCAAGTTCTTCCCCCCTTTCCCCCTTCCCCCCTCCCCTTTTCTCTTCGATCTTTTCCTTTTCCACCCACACTCACCCAGACTGGAGCTGTACCTTAAATTACCAGAAAGGGGTCCTTCGTTTTCCCCTTCCCTCTCTTCTGGGAGAGAGAGCGCCTTAATTGTTTCCAGACAATTAAGAATCTTGTCGCGTCACCGTGGAGCAATTTCTTTTGACAAGCCCGCCGTTTAGGCGACAGAGGGGAGGGGAAATTTGCATTTTTATGGGCACACGACCATTTCCCAGGAAAGAGAGGAAGGAGGCATTATTCAAGAAGAAGCCTCCGTTGCCTTTCACAATGACTACAACCTGCTTCACAGCACTAATTCCATTCCCGTTCCGTCTTCATCCATCACCCTCAGTGCAGAATCATTTTGGTCTTCCTGCGAGAAATAGGGAGGAAAAGGGGGAAAAGAGGGGGTACGATAAGACCCAGGGAATTTATGGCTGGCCTCACCGATAAAACCCTGGCAGGCTCATCATATCGGTCAAGTATTATGATGGAAAACCTTCTAGCCATTCTCCTATTGCGGCTGGAAAGCCCTGGTGAGAGAGGATTAAATCCGGGACTTGCCTGTTGAAAACGCGGCGCGTTGGGAAAAATGAAGGCCAATATTGCTCCTGGCTTCAGATCATTCTTCATCTTCTCCTCCTCTCCCCCCCCCCCCCCCCCCCCCC